TTATTTAATTTCTCTATTTAGGGGGAAAAAAAAAAAAAAAAAGATTTTGAAACACACATGCAAACAATTGTTGTAGTGCACGTACGATATATACGCTCGCTGTGTTTATTTATGTGAATCTGAGTTCGTTTGAATTGGCATTGCTTAGTGGGGAGGTAAGACAAAACATAAACATACGTAATTAAAGTGGAGAATTTTCTATGTCTATATTTAGAATCTTTTATATGCTTTTTGAAAGGGACCATTGGGAGTGATAATTTTAGTATTTTACTATATTCCAATTTTATATAGTTTACACTTTACAGATAGTGCTTTGTTTTAATTTGCATCCTTCTCATCTTGCCCCTCTTTTTCTTATGGTTTTTGCATCCTTGTAATTTTCTTGTTAACTGCATGCAATGAGAACATCTTGCTTCAGACGAGTTTAATAAGTTGAAATGTAGCATTTTGTATTAAAAATCAGCTTGAATTCGAGTTCCTTGTTTGATCTGGAGTTTCAACTCAAATTAATTAATTGTACATTTCAAATGAAAGTGCATTGCAACAATAAATTTAAAATTTTGATGTCTACATGAATATTTTTGTTGTGAACCTCGTCATGTTTTTGTCTATTATGTTAAAATGTCTTATTACTTGGGATATTATATCTTGTTATTAAATATGTTAATTTGTTAAAAATATAGTCCACATAATGATAGTGACTGTCTAATCAAAGATAAAGAAAACAAAACCCTATCAGATAAAAGTGAATAATCATTACTTGATAAAGTTAATAATTGACTAAAGTCGTTTACGAAACTTAAATAATAGTGATATTGTTTGAGTTAATAGTTAGTGGCAACCTTGTTTTTTTTAACAATAAAATTTATAAATAACAACAATATACAAATTAGACAACAGCTAAACAATCGATTATTAGCTACCCAGCTGAATTTGGTTAGGAGGTCTACACTAACGGCAGTCTAGAATCAATTTAACAAAAACAACAAACACACGACTTTCAACAGAAGAATAGAAAAACTCCCATAAGTGGATAATACAAATATCACACTAAGAGAAAAAAACAAAACACAATCAAAGCACATGAAAAAAATAATTAAAATAATAATTAAAAAACTTATAGATAGGCTAAAGGCTCTCCCCACCAGCAACCAAGCCACTCCCAAACACCCCAAACGAACCAACACCCAAGGCAACAATCAAAGATGGCCCAGCCCCCGACCTAAACAGAGATCTAGAAACTCCTCTACTGGCTATCTAGATTCGGACCAAAAGTCCAAAGCCTTCTTAAAAAGCCACCACAGAACGTTCACCAACATACCGCACCTCAGCCCAACCCCAACACAATTGACGACCACGGCCCGCCGACCGACGTCAAAGCCACACTCGTCGACGACCCCTACTAACACAACACCAGGGTCACGACAGGTTCCGTATATGGGCACGATAGGATCGATTCATAACCTACTTATTATAAATAGCACGACAATTAATGTATATGTAAAACAAGAAAACTCGCAACAAAATTACATACTGTACATGGGAGTGGGTAAATGATGATCTCTAATCCGCTGTAACTTGATTTCACATTCTAAAACTTGCAAACCTTGAGCTATTTTTTCGATAGGCCTCAGCTTTCGAACTGATTTTTTTAATTTTTTCAGGACCGAGAAGAGATATCGATTTTTCTGATTTAGTGTTTAGAATGAAGAAATCGATTTTGCTGGTATTTAAATATGGGAGATGTAATGATCCACGCATTCGCCCAGTCATCGTCACATGGAAATTGATTTGATTCAGCTAATGATGTGGAAAATAGAAATAATGTCGCGTAGGCAAATTATTCCAATCGATTGATTAATGTACCAGTTATAATGAATTTTTTTAATTTATTGTATTTAGTTTAATGTCTGCCAAAAAAGTGAACATTTTTTTGAAAATTGCCAATATAATTGACCAAAAATAAAATTTTGCCAAATATAATATGTCGATTTATTTAACAATGCCTACCAACAAATTTTAATTAATCTGTAATACATGCCCGCCAAACAGACTCAAAGCTTAGAAATCCTATGTAGTCATCCATAGATTAATGTATTTACAAATATTCGAAGTGTATTTATTTTAGACACAATATTAATACATCATTTATAAAAAAAAAGTATGGATGGATTTATACGTTACCATCCGATGACTCGGTAACAAATTTGGGCTCAAGTACAACCAGCATATGGCGATTGAGGTCGGCTTCTGTCTGTGCGACACACATCATCAACAAAGAATTTTTATCAATTCTTAGTCAATGCGCTTGTTTGGCCAATTGTCCCGAATTGAACATATAAATCATCTCCCATAATTATTCCAAACTATTTGTGTACTTCCCTACAACTGTGTTGGCAAGTCGCAAGACCTTGTTTCTCATCATGATTTAATTTGAAACCAAATAAAAAAGAAATTTACGGTGTCCTTTATTAAAAAATAAAAATTAAATAGGTATTATTAATAGACAACATAATCATAGTAAGCATAATCATAGTAACGAATCGATCCATTATATTTTTCAAACAAAAATACATATCTATGCAAATCTTTATATTTGTTGAAACTTACCAAAATTCATATTATTGAACTTAACAATCTTATTCCAGTCACCATTTATGGGAAAGCTACTCCGTAAACAACTATTAGTCGAACGTTGCAGCCTACTAAAATAGTCTAAACAAATCAATTCTAGTCTTTGTTAATGATTTAGTGTTGACTTATCCAAATTTAAATGGCATGTAATTTGTATTAAGCTCAAGTTTTCAACCTTATGGACATCTTGAATAATATACGTAAAAGTCAAAATTGTTGGAGCAATTTTTAGATAGTCCATTTCAAGTAGAAAATTTGGAGTTAATGTCGCCGCATCATCATGAGAGGATAATTTCTCAATCAAATTAAAATGAATATCATACGGAGGACGACAGGATTTAGAACAAGATTTTATATATTGAAATCTAATATATAAATACCATAAAACAAGAAACTAAAGCCACTAAACAACGAATCATGATTTGGATATTGTGTCTCTCAAAATCAAACTGCTTAACTCTCTCCGACCTTGTTGCGAACGATGGCGCCAGCGCTGCCACTCATTTCGTGCCTGTGAGATATCAACGATGGTTGGGCTGTTGCAATTGAGGGAGTGGTCATGGCGGATCTTTTTCGTCCAATGGATGTCTCTTATTTGGTCGCTTTGAAAGATAGATCGTGTCCGAAGATGTCAGATATGGTTAGTCTCTGCCATCTCGGAGCCGCGAGTTTTCGAATCTGCTATTTTTAGGTTGTGGTAGTGTTCTTCATTGTGTGTCTGACTTCAATTTGCTGGCTCAAATGGTGGCGTTGGAGAAACTGGTTGTTAGCCTAGGAGAGCTTTAGTTTATAGTTAGTTTGCTGTTTTTGCTAGTTTGTTCTTATTTTTATGT